TTGGATAGTGTACTGTACAATAGAAACTGGTAGCTAATCTAGAGATTGCTCTCCGGAAATAAAATCACGGAAATAACCAGCGGTGACTCTTTAAAGTTAAGGCGAAATTCCCAGGGAAATTTGGCACAGTTGGTAGTCAGCCTTGCAGTTTTCCGTAGTATGCTTATTCTGCAAAGCGCATTTCTCGCACCCCCCAGGCATTCATTGCGAATTCATAGGATAATTTCCTCGAATGTATGTAGATGTGAGGCTGTGCTGATGAAGCCGCGAATGCTGACCGAAGGCTATGAGCCTTGGCAATGTTTTCTATAAAATTTGCAAGCAATATTGCTTATTTTTGACGCGATGTGAGTCCATAGATCTGCATTTCTATCGATTTTTTCTTTCGAAATTATTGATTAGGGTGAGGATTTTAGATATGGATCTGTTACTGGCATGTAAGGAGGAGTTCCATCGTCGTCTACGTATTTACAATGCATGGAAATCGAGGAATCAAGCAGAACGTGAATCAGTGGTGCAACGAGCGCCAAATGCAGTGTACGCAAATGCACAAAGTAAGTAGAGTTTCGACGTGGACGCGTCGCGAGGGCGCGCGAGAATCCAAGTCATTTGTACCAGCTATAAATAAACCAAATTTACTTCCCGACCAATTTTTTGATCTTTCCAAAGAATTTTTGAATTTTTTGATTATTTTTAAATCTGGCGACCCCAGTTTTCCAAAAAGCGATGATGTTTAGTTTCAGAACGTACGATCATAGCACCACAAGTGAACCCAGCTCTAACAATGCAGAGATACTTCAAAGTCCCGTTCGCCCGCCCTGCTGATATCTACAAGACTAACAACTATAACAATAACAATAATAACAATGGTAAGTGTAAGAAATGAGGAAAAAATTCCTTTTTCCCTTTTTGTTTTTTTTTTCTTTTTCGGGCCTTCAAAGAAGATTTTAGGCTATATCACGGATAGCCGAGTAATACAGCAAGGTTTATGGTATGCGCACTTTAATGGACAATGGATTCAGCGACAAATTGAAATGCATCCGAATAAGACGCCTATACTACTCGTTGCTGGTTAGTTTTTGGTCGATCGATATTGATTGGTTTTCGAATAGCTTTGCTTAGATAGCGGAAAATTATCTGTGCCCCATGACAATCTTCTGTAATAAAAATGTTTGTGGGAACTGTAGGGGCACCCAGATAGCCAACTTTTACCACGCTGGTTTTGACAATGGCGCTAATCTAGTGAAGAAATCAATATTTGAATATTTTAAGGGTTCTTTACATAAGAATTATGAAGAGAGGTTTTCCTGCAACTTTAGTTTGAAGCTGTACAAATATTCTGAAAAAGATACCTTCTTCAAATCCGTTTTCGTGGCAATTTTTCCTACGATACACCAAGATACGATGCAGCGACCTAGTATTAGGTTGGTGCAAATGAAACTTCCGCAAACGCTACCTCGGATTTGACGACCAATAACTCCGCTCAGCATAAGCTATATGAGCAATCTTATACATTGCCAGAATCGACAAATCATGCACAACATGGATGCTGCTAAAACTTTTGCAAAAGTTGTAACTCTCGAGTTTTGCAAAGGAAAATGTCCAAAAAGTTTATTTCGAGAAGCTCCACTTTGCGGAATTTTACCTATTCGTGGAAGCAATTTTGATACACCGCGTTACCATGAATTAAGAAGGAATGCCCTGAAAAATGCGCAGGGATTATTTCAGCTGCACAGCTTTTCTTCACCAAATTTTAGACCCTGGAAACTAAAAAGTGTGCCAAAAAAAACGTGGTGCTGGCGTACCTCAAAATCGTGAAATTTTCTAGTTTTCTGACTTTATAGTCTACACATGGACCCCGAGGCAACCATGCTGTACTTCGTTTGCAACTATGCTGTATTCCTCAACTATTGACACAATCATGACCCCCCAGCTCTTACCGTCACTTGGTAGTGACCATTGATATGGGCTCAAAACAGAGCTTAATTTCGAGTCTTATATCTCCGCTCAGATGGTTTAAGAAATAATGATCACCAGAGGTTTGTTAGCAAATACCTTGCGGAATACTAGAATACCAACAGTAACTATTTTAACGCTTCTGCCTTTGAAATA